TATTTCATAATAATCATGTCAATCAACTTTAATGACACTTCAAGTCAGCAAATACAACCCGTGGTTAAATTAAAGCCTAAACATAAATTTGAGAAATGCATTAAATGTAAAAAAAGAAGGAACCCTTTTGAAGAAAGTCATAGAATTTGCCGCTGTTGTTATAGAGCAAAAGAAACCTTTAATCCAATTGAAATCGGAAATAAAGTTATTGACGATTTTTCAAATATACACAAATTAATCTTCTCAACGAACGCAAAATGGAGATTGTTCCATATGATAGACTTTATAAAGCTATTTGGATTGATGGTCCTATTACGAATTATGGTAATTGGAATAGTAATAAAAAAAATATGATCGAGAAGCTAATAAACAAGTTGCTCCTAAGAAACTTAACCACTCTAAAAACTTACAAGGAGTTAAACGAGGTATATATATTAACTTGCTTTATTTATTTATTACAATCATCTTAATGCACAAAGTTAATAATCTTTTTTTCAGCTTAAATTTCTTATAAATTGCCTATTACCAAAGATTTTGTGATAATTATTGTGATGCAGGAGATTTGATTCGTTATATAACTGAAAATTTTAGATTGGTACGATAAGTTAAAATATTTAAGCAACATTGCAAGTGGCCTAGTTAACATTCATAAAAAGGGAATTATCCACCGTGATTTTCACAGTGGAAATATTTTGTAAAAAAGTTATGCTATAATAGGTGATTTAGAATAGAGCAAATCTGCTACTGAAGCTGAAGATAATGAAACTTATGGAATTATTCCATATATGGCCCAGAGATTCTTTAAGGACAAAAATATACCGCAGCTTCAGATATTTATAGTTTTGGTATGATTATGTGGGAGTGTATGATAGGTAGAAGACCTTTCTCATGATACTGGGCTGATTATTGATATTTGTGATGGGTTGCGTCCTCCAATCGGTGATATAGAAAAGCACCAAAAGATTATGTTAAGCTAATGAAAGAATGTTGGGACCCTATTCCAATTAAAAGGCCAGCGAGTAGTTTTTTGCGAGACGAAATTTCTAACATTCGATATGTTGAAAGGAGACATCCAACCAATATTGTAGAATCATCAGAAATTGGGTCACTCCCTCCCCGCGTTTCATTTTTACTAATTATTATGGGGACTTTGTAATTAAAAATCTATTTGTCACCAACAATTCGTCACATATGCGCCACAATTAATTCCAGCCATATTCCGTGATGCCGGCCATTTTGTGACATTTTTTGAAGGGTACGCAGGGAAAGTTAGGGGATTGGATATCATACTCTATATGCAACCTAATTTTAGTCAGGATCTATAAATAAACTCTGATTTATAATTATATTAGAAAGTACTAATGAAATTTGTTATCGCTTTCAGTAATAAAAATTTTAATATATTCACGCTATAATAATATTTTAAGAATGCAAACTTGTAATATTATAAATCAGTTTCATATGTGTATGCGTTGATTGCTTTATTTTTTTTTTTTTAATAAACTGAAACGGGGCGCTAATAAAATATTTTGGTCACGTTACTGCAAATTTTTTTTGACGAAAAAAATTATCCAAAATCAAAATTCTGTTTCCATTTGATTTACCAAAATAACCAAAGAATATATCATATCATCCTGAAAATATAAAATTATTAATTTATCATATATCGAATTTAGATGGCCAAGTTATTATATTATATATATTATAATGGCTCCTTGCAATGGAGGGATTGCCGAAAAAGATTGACAAAAAAAAATCAAAAATTAAAAAAATTAATTCATACATGAGTTTTAGGCAGTAACATATATGTGTAGCATAAGAACCCATTTTGGTTTTCTGCTTTCTATCCAAATAAGACATTATTAAAACAAAAAGTTATTATTGCATATAGCAGACCTTGAATACACTATAAATACAAATAATTTTAGTTTACATTTCCAAAATTCCGATTCAAGAGAATTTCTCATTCTCAACCAATTGGTCACGTAACTTTATTTGGTTAAAAAGATTTATTTTTAGTCTTTGTGTTTCGACGTTCATCATTCAAAAGACAAGTAAATGTTGGTGTCCATGTAAAAAGACAATGACATATTGTTCTAGATTTTTATTATATTAGATAATTCGGGATAGATTTAAATATCTGCACCTGTGATTATTGTGTCATAAAGTTATTCCTGATTGAAGTTCAAATTCGGATGTTTTGCTAAAAATTAGGAATGATCATATATATTGTATGACACAAATGTAGACTTATTATTGATAACTTTTAATTTCCATATTTGGAATTTGGCGGCAAAATAAAAAAAGTTTGTACTTTCATTAGATTATTTATCTACATTAAGATGAGTGATTATTATGTAATGAAATGCATATATACAATGATTAAACGCAGCGAGCAGGGTTAACTTTAATTATATGAAATTAAGAGATTTAATTGCACTTTCCTAAAATAAGTTTTAAGAAAAGGATGAATGTTGAATAATATTATTTCGAATGTGTCTGGAGTATTAATTCCGTGCTTTTTTTAAAAAAAAATTCGTGGAAACGCAAGTACCCAGAGTAATCGTCAATTTTTCTTTCTTTTATAAAAACATCTAAAATTTTGATGCAAGCGTTTATCGTTTTGTTCCTACACAGATTATTTCAAAAAAAAAAAATAAATTGCTTCACAAACTATCTGTAATTTTATTCAAATAAATCCATTAATACAAAAAAGTTTATTTTTAACCCTTTTTCTTAAAAAGTTTGAATGTTCAAAATTCCTTTATGTTTTTTTTTTTAATCTGCGGTATTATTTCCTGGCTTATTATGCTTCGATTTATTATATATAATAAAAGTACCATTTGATAATTTGTTTGTTACCATTACTCAGAATAAATAAATAAAACTAAACAAATATTATACATACAACGGTTGATCTTCAATGCCGTCAATATTTATTTGGTGCGCTTAACTTTTTTCTTTTGTAAATCATTTTTCGAGTTGCATTCTTTTCTCTTTTTCTCTTCGGATAACATGATATATTTGTTTTTCTCAGCAACGGATAATTCTTTCCATAGCTTTCCAGCAATGACAGAAAATTCACGCGACTTTGCATTTGGAAAAGCTTTTTATACTCTTTCCATAACTCAAAATGAAATATAATAAAACCATTAGGACGACGACCCATTTTTCCCATTTTTGGAGTTTCTATAATAACATCTAACATGTTTATTGAGAATATTTTAAGTTGCAAAACAAATTATTTTCTTGTGGAAACTCAAATTTTATAAAAGCGTTTCCTTTAAATATTATCGTTGTTTTTCGTTGATGATTGAAAAGGAATAAGTACTAGATGTTAAATTTCGATTAATTCGAATTGATTTTGAATTGTAGGGATTGTAGGATGAAGACAGAATCAAATTCAGTGTGGTATTTATATAAAAAAATAATCAGCATCAGTAAAGCAATTATTTGTTACCAGCTCAAACATTATGCATATCTGTCTATTTTGAGATAGCGTAAGAAAAAAAAACAACTTGCAGTCAGTTTTGCTGCCAGCATTTATTGTGAAGGGACATATAAATGCATTAAATAAATATAATGAAATGCAAATAATGTAATCTTGTTCATATTTAAAGTAACTTCTTGTTTTATATAAATCTAATAACCTAAAAAAAAAGATCTTTCTCTACAGAATGTGGAATCTGAAAAGTACAGTTTGGAATTCAACCATACTGCGCGTAATTGCTTTTTTTGTGTGAGTGTGTGAAAAAAAAAAATAATAAGGGAAGGGGAAACCCTACTTGGTTAAATTTGGAAAAAAATGTTTGTATCATCCTGTTAATTAACTTGTTATACATTAAAAGAATGTGAAAATTTTTACAATGGCTAGATGTCCATTCTGTCAAATTTATTAATCGTGTAATGTTGTTATGTGATATAATCGAAATTTCGGATTAGCTACTCCCTCCCTCGAAAAGAAAATTTTTCCTTTGTCTTTAATTTAAAGCAAGATTTGGTTAATTATTAGAACAAAGGAATACTTTATTGTTCATGTTTTCAAATGGTATGTATAATTTAAAAAAAATTTCAAGCAAAAATTCTCGAGTCATGCTCACGAATATTCGGAAACGAGGAATTCAAACGTAAATACAAGGCGCAGTTGAAGGTAATATCAATAATTGAAGACATGAAGATATTAAATAATACATATTATTATTATTTTTGTTTAAATAATTCTATTAATTAATACAATACAATAATAAATTCAGTTTAATTATACCAATGAATCAATTATTATTA